ATCCCCCTCCACTGAACATATCCCTCTGGCTCAACAGAGAAGCTTCCATCACTCCGGATGACATTGGATCATTTTTCTCCCCCTGCACATTCCAGCCAAAGAGGAGGACAAGGGAGGGGAGTGGCTGCTGTTTCTGCTCTGTGATTATATCATTACAAAGCAGCAGACATGTATACAGTATATCAAGCACAACCCGTCATTAGCATACTTTATTTGATGATGGCTAAATACAAGTGTGCTTTTGTTGGATCCAACCAACTGGATCGCCCTTGTGCCAGTACCGCGGAATTAAATTTGGGAATGCTTTCTCAGAGCGCTCCAAATTTGAGATCAACCTTGAGCTATAAAAACCCCTTCTCTTATTTACTGTACCATTATCCCCACCCACCCCGACACCTGTTGTGACATGCTTTGCCAGAGTTACCAGATACTGCTAAGGCTCTGCTCGCGGTCTAAATAAACCTGTCCGAGCGACACAGTTGTGTAATACACTCGAAGTTGCCGGCTCCAATAATAGCACACACCTGTCAAACACAGGCCCTGCTTGTTCTCTCCGTTGACCTGACCCCCTCTCACTCCTTAACTCCAAACTCAAATGTTCCATGGCCGGGAGACAACGTAAACACTTCTCAAGAAAAATTATTTCCAACAAGCAGCAGACACAAAGAGAGGGAGGAACAAGAGGTGGAGGTAAAAGCAAGAGAATAGAACATTTTGACTGGCAAGGGAGCGGGAACAAAGGCGATAATAGCTTTATTCTGCCTCTGCAGAGATTGTGCAGTGGCTGCCACTATAAAGCCTTGATTGACAACAACATTAGCACTCAGAGGAGAAATAGCTCCCACTCACAGTTATGTAACATACAAAGAAACTACAGCGAAGGTTGTGGATGGGTATTAGCGTGCCTGCGCTTATGTGTATGTGGGCATGTACACACGTCGTATTCCCAGATAAAAACAAAAGTGACAGAATATCTAAGACTTGTTCTTATCTTCTGACAACTGTATGCCTTCAAGGAGATGAAAGGTGATGTACAACACACTGAGGATCTCTCGGGGATCCTGGATTTATGCAGCACATAAAAAGTTGTCTCAGACATTTTTTGTGGCGCTTTGTTTGGCAAAATGACAGTGAAAGTTTAATTGTGTGGTTGTGGTGGAGGCAGCTGATTTCATTGCATGCAGACACTGAGCGCTGTGTCCTAGCTTGAACTGGCGATAATTGTCCGTGGCCGAGGCCCTACGGAGGAGCGAGCGAGCAAAGAGCAGACAGGGACAGGAGGAAATGAGCATCCCATAATACATCACCACAGATCTGCTGACACACCCCAGAAACCGAGCCATTCATCAGCCCACCAGCCCTCATCGGGCCCTTCACAGACCAGCAAAGCAAAGACAGTTTGTGTTTGGATGGTCAGCTAAAACATTTTACTACATCACATCACTGCAGCTGTTACGTTTCCCATTTGATCTTAACATGAATCTCCGCACCAGCCCCATTATTTGAAACAATCTGCTCAACCTCCGTATCGT